CAACAAATAAACTCCTAAAGACATGGCTAGGAAAAGCCAAGTATTTTTGCATACGTTATAACTCAAAAACAAAGCAAAAACCAGCGACAAAATTACAGGGCCGCGTTTTTCTATTACATTGAAGACCACATGCAAAAATTCAAGCCCTTTCACGAAAAAAAATTTTTTCACCCAAATCGTCACTTAGCATGGTTTTGCACTCACCCCTTCAATTGGTCCATAAACAGTTGAAAAACTGGGCCTGTGCCAAAAAGCGTGCACAGGCACATAACTAAATACAGACATGCACTGAACAGTGAAACCCTCCCTTAGACAAAACAAACCACATTGTTATACCTCCCAACTCAAATATGTTTTCCTATTGGAGGAGAGCGGGTTGTGTCGTGGGTCAAAACTCACTAACTCCCTAGCGAAACAACAACTTGAAGTTTCAACTTGCACATGATCAGGTCATGCATCTTGAAACCGCAGCAAATTTTTGAGCCAGCCAGCTTCAAGAAAACAATTTCTTCGCAGGCTTTTTTTTTCTTTCTTTCTTTGAGTTGGGAGGTATAACAAAACATGTAATGACTGGTCCTGCAGGAAACAGTGAGTCTTGTTTCATCTCTACCTCAGTGTTCTCCAAGGCAAAGCTGAGCCGGTTTCGGGGAAACAAAACTCACTGTTTCCCTTGGGGCTAGTCATTAAGTGCTTATTGTCGGCTGGATAGCGTTATCCACCTTTTGAACAACCCAGGTCCGGTATACATGTGAAGTAGTCAATAGGGAGTAAACATTCAATGATGGTTATTACAGGATTTGAAAATGTCAATTTGTCTACAATGTCTTGTGTGGCCGGTTCAAGCCAGTGTATTGTGGAGCCAATTTTTTTTTTTTAAGTTGTCACACTCTCTTTGTTTACAGTCTGAAATAGCCTCCATCATTTTTCTGTTAGGGAAGTTTTCTTTATCACCTCTGAAATGTTTTTGTCTCTTTGTTTCTTTTTGTTTCCTCACTTTGAAGCCATACAAAAAAGTCATACCTCCCCTTTATCTAAATGTGATGTAGAACATTAAGATTATGAAGTTATCCCTCTTGTCTTTTAAAAATTCTTGGATGTTATTTTTTTTTTCTTTTTTCTTTTTTTTTATACTTGCCAAAAAAGAAATATGACAATAACTTTATCTTAGCTGAAAAACATAGCAGAGTGAAAATGTGGGAAAAAACCTAAAGTTTAATATCCTGACATATCCTTAGCAAAATGTAAGCAAAGTATCTTTTTTATGATTAGTATGGACATCCCCTGGCCTCTAAAACCTAGCTCACTCCTAATTAAAAAACTAATACTTAGTTTTAGGTAATATTAAAAGTGGAAGCAGACATTTATAATCTAACTTGTGCCTTCTATTACTGTGACTTTTTCCAGTCTTGGGATGCTTATTTCCGCCAAGTTCAGAATGGGATGCCTCCAGGACAGGCCTACCAACCACCACCCATTCTGGGACAGATGGCTGGCATGGTAGCAACAAGACAAACTGTTCCAAGTGCTGTGGACCAATCCACTATCAACAGTCTTGTGTCAGATCACTTGGCAGTGTACTCTTTGATTCGTTGTTACCAGGTAATTATTAATTAATAATAAGTATACACTAGACCTGTATTTTTCTTGTTGCTTTTAATGAGGTAGTTTTCTAGTTTGACGTTATACAGTCTAACCTCTTCTAATGGTCACCTCTCTTCAACGGCCACTTTTTTCTGGTGGCAGATGGGCCTTATTCACTTTTATTTTAACCTCTCTACAACAGCCACCTCTCAATAACAGATATGGCCACTAAAGCATGTCCCAACTTACTGTTGACATTCTTATTGCAGATCAGGGGTCATAACAAAGCCCAGTTAGACCCTCTTGGTATCCTGCAGGCTGACCTCTCAGATTCCATTCCTGCTGATCTTTCTCTTGAATACTGGGGACTTGGTGAGTTATGCACCATATGAAACACGAAAGATTGTGTTCATAATTTGTCCTGGATAATTGATTNTTTTTTTTTTCTTTTTTCTTTTTTTTTTTATACTTGCCAAAAAAGAAATATGATAATAACTTTATCTTAGCTGAAAAACATAGCAGAGTGAAAATGTGGGAAAAAACCTAAAGTTTAATATCCTTACATATCCTTAGCAAAATGTAAGCAAAGTGTCTTTTTTATGATTAGTATGGACATCCCCTGGCCTCTAAAACCTAGCTCACTCCTAATTAAAAAATAATACTTAGTTTTAGGTAATATTAAAAGTGGAAGCAGACATTTATAATCTAACTTGTGCCTTGTATTACTGTGACTTTTTCCAGTCTTGGGATGCTTATTTCCGCCAAGTTCAGAATGGGATGCCTCCAGGACAGGCCTACCAACCACCACCCATTCTGGGACAGATGGCTGGCATGGTAGCAACAAGACAAACTGTTCCAAGTGCTGTGGACCAATCCACTATCAACAGTCTTGTGTCAGATCACTTGGCAGTGTACTCTTTGATTCGTTGTTACCAGGTAATTATTAATTAATAATAAGTATACACTAGACCTGTATTTTTCTTGTTGCTTTTAATGAGGTAGTTTTCTAGTTTGACGTTATACAGTCTAACCTCTTCTAATGGTCACCTCTCTTCAACGGCCACTTTTTTCTGGTGGCAGATGGGCCTTATTCACTTTTATTTTAACCTCTCTACAACAGCCACCTCTCAATAACAGATATGGCCACTAAAGCATGTCCCAACTTACTGTTGACATTCTTATTGCAGATCAGGGGTCATAACAAAGCCCAGTTAGACCCTCTTGGTATCCTGCAGGCTGACCTCTCAGATTCCATTCCTGCTGATCTTTCTCTTGAATACTGGGGACTTGGTGAGTTATGCACCATATGAAACACGAAAGATTGTGTTCATAATTTGTCCTGGATAATTGATTTTGGTTATTAATCTCTTTCAACCCAGAGGTAAAACTCTAGACTAACCACAAACAATTTAATTTATTATCTTACATGTACATGTATAAATGTATTGATTCATTGGGGCTGCTAAAGAGCACATTCAATTTGACTTAGGTTAATTTGTTAGGAAGAGATAAACCTTAAAAAATGACCTAACATGAGTATATGCTGCCATGCAATTTTTTCCCTTCTTGATGATGTTGTTTTATTTGGTTTTTTTTTTCTTTTTACAGGAGAGGCTGATCTAGATAAAGTTTTCCAGCTTCCTAACACAACGTATATTGGTGGCAACACTGATGTTTTGACTTTAAGAGAAATAGTCAGCAGGCTTGAGGTATGTTGAGGTCTGTGATGATGTACTGTAAATCGTAATTTCATGGCAAAAAGTATGCTACGTTTTGTGTTCATTGTGTTCTGTTCTTGGGCAAGACTCTGAGATCTTCTCTCAGTACTTCTCTCCACCCAGGTGTCTAAATGGGTACCAGTCCAGCAAAGTAGAGAGGTTGTAACTTAGCCTTTCAGAACATGTATGAATCTTGTAGGAGTTACAGGTATTCCTCAGTTGCTTGAAGATCAGATCTTGATTTTATCTTCCACAGAGTTCATATTGTGGACACATTGGGCTGGATTATATGTTCATTCCAGAAAAATCTAAATGTAAGTATCTGTTCTAAAAACTCATGGTTGATAAAGTGTACAATGGGCCATATTTGCATTTTGAGTACTAGCTTGTGACTGAGCTAATATGTTTGGTCTTCTCAAATGCTGATTCATCCCCTAGTAAATCAATTTACAGTAATTAATAGTAATGCTCATTGTGTGCTGTTGGTGTAAACTACTTA